CCCCAAAACCCCAAAACCCCAAAACCCCAAAACCCCGAGACAACCTCCACTAACTGAACGCAACTCTAACACCCTAAAACCCCTTTCACTCCCCTAAAAACTGCCTCTTCGCCCCAAAACCCACCCCAAAACCTCCTCCTCTTCCTCTTCAAAACCCCAACTCACAGCCTCCTTCCTGCCTCTTCTCCCCACTGAGCCTCTGCTTCCTGCTCTACAGACTCTTGGTCTGCGAGGCTGACGCCAGCCAGGTCAGAATTTTAATAGAAATTCACCTTAGTGATTACAGTCATGCTCAGTGACTCTTCCTGGGAAAGAACTGAGAGGGGGTTTAAGTGCAGGCTTTCTGATGGGACTCCTGGTTCTTGATGGTGTCCTCATTGAAAATGGGATTCTGGAGTCGAGAGAGGCTGAAAAGAGGACTGATGGGATAGCATGGAGAGGGTTTGGTTGATATATTTAGGGAATTAAGGGAGCAATCGAAAAGTACTTAGTTTAACAAAAATCAATTTATTCCTGTTTAGCCTAATGCTTGTGTGAAAGGGAAATAAGTTTAGTTAATTAATTGATCAATTAAGAACTTGGAAAGCTGATCGCTAGCAGTTTTAATCTAGTTCACATCTAGCTTGACATTCTTATTAAATAGCAAAGTTAATATAAGTAGGTGATAAAGGAAGGTGGTATTTTTCAGAAAGATCTAAAACATTCTCTTTCACTTGCCCACTAATTTTGAAGTAAAGTAATTTATAATAAAACCTTTTGGGATACTCAAGAGGGTTATTCAGCAGAATTTTCTACAAATCTCCTCTTGAAATTAGATTCTTCTACGAAGGTCTGACAGCTAAGAAACCCTCACCAAGAAAAGTTTGGACTAGTGTTTTCAAAAATATGCTCCAAATGGCTTCTAAAACTGTAAAAAGGTTAAATAAGAGTTGATAACTCAAAAAATTGCTGAATTTTTAAAAAAGAGGAGCCAAAGCTTATTTTCTTAATTCAAAATATGTTATCAAAATTATTAAACTCCACTCAATAAAGTTGGTAAATCGCAGATTTCATGCTATGTGTAAAGGGTAAGTCATACTTTAAGAAACATTTTATTTCTCTCACAGCTCAAAACTCTAAATGACTCTTATATTAAACACCTCTAACGAGTCAAAATTTTAATTAAAAATTAGCTAGTCCTTCTCTTCATCCCAAAATTCGAACTTTCCAAACCATGCGAGGCGGATCTATTTTGCGAAGAAGTCCTTAAATTCAAAAAATCTGATATTAAGGAAGAAGTTACGGCAACAAAGAAGTAGATGTTATAGGCCGATTGGTCTTTGCTAAATTGTTAATATTTTCTTTCCTGGCTACTCATGCTCTCTCTCAACTAGCGTACCGTATAGGCTCTTTCAATCAGGCAAGGACAGAGTATTGCAAAATAGCCGATTATTTGCCAAAACCCCGACCATTCTCCATCCAAAAAGGAGATATAGCTCAAATTGGCTGATCAAGCAAACCGAATAATTGTTAATCGCTAATTATTCACCACATGTAACTTTTTATGGAAGAAAAAATGCAATAGTAATCCCAAATTTCATGCTCTAGTTTTTGTGTTTCAGCAGAAAAATAATTTCAGAAATCATCCAGTTCCTTATAGCCCAAGACTGGAGCTAATAGCTTGCTTTTACGATGCTTATTGAGCAGAAAAATTTCGTAGAGATTCTCAATACGAAGATTTTATGAAGAAAGATAATAATCTAACAAAATTATGTGGTGACCAGAAGATGAGCCCTGGAATGGAGACTTTAAAAGACGCACAGAGACCTTGGGGGGTACTTATTTATATATTTATAGAGTTTTATAACCCAAAGAACTCTGCAAAGCTGAATTCGTTCAGATTTCATCTCAAAGCTGCAATTTTTAATAACACTTCCTGGAAGAGTTATCAAACAAAGGATTCTTAGTTATGAGAGACTTAGAGGTCTTATGGTTTATCAGAAAAGATGATAGCCTTAATTAAAAAATTCACGGTCGTTCGCTATCAAGAAAGCAGTGATAATAGCTTGCTAATTGATATTCTGAGCAATTATGTTATCAGCCCAAGAATTGAACTATCCAAATTTCGTATTTGGATTAGAAATTTTGAATTTCCTTTCTTCAGACAAGCCGGACAGCTCTAAAGGTTATTTAGAGCACCCAAAACAGGAAAAAGATACGAGAAGATACACAGATGTATCCTTCTGAAACCTTATTTTAATATAGTAGCTGGAGTGAACGGTCAACTCATTATTTGGAATATTTTTCATAACTTGAGAAGAAATCGGCTTTAGGTTTTCGAATTTTTTGCTATAATGCTCTAATAATTTTAAAAAGTTGAGTTCGAAATTTGTGAGCAGATAAGTCCAGGTTTGCTCAAGTAAAGATTTTTACTACCATCCTCAGATTATTATAAAGAAGTATTATAAATTTTAACGAATTTTGACTTTCAGGCACCAAATCCTAATTTGAAGATGAGCAAGATAAGCTAGCTTATTTTTTAGAAATTTTCACTAAAATAGTTGAAATCAGAGCTTTTTCGTTGAGAAAATTGCGGAAATTAGAGAAAAGGTACGATTATTTTCTTCGAATGTTCATCTCCCTTCTGGCTCTATTAAATCTGTCTAGGAGTCTATACATAATCTGGTACATAAAAACCTTTAGAATGTTGTGAAATGTAGTATTATCCTCCATAACACTCAGGTCATAACCCGTGCTCTGTATCTTTGCAGTTCTCTATCTACTTATAATCATAAAACTCCGAGAATTTCTGGAAAGATTTTGCCTGCATGTATTACAGCAACAATTCGAAATTTCTGAGTGAGGTGATTAAACAACTATTTATTTCTTGAAGCTCCAAGCATCTTGAGTCCAACTGGTATCTTAACTTAGGACTCCATTGAACTTGTCTTCCCAAGGATACGTGGGAGAACTAATATTTAAAGCTACCAGATAATAATAATTAATAAAAATTTCAAAACAAGATGATGAATTCTTTTGCCATCCAAAACATGCCTATGGTAAGCTTTAAACTTCCCGATTTTTCTCTAAATGCTGTTTTTTATAGACATACTATGGACCTTATTGCTCTGATCTTCTCGAGTGTATAAACCAATTCTGTTGGGGGTGAGAGACTCCAGCTCTGGCATCTTCTGACAGCTCTTCACCTTGAAAGGTGACTGAGAGAAAAACTACTATTGGAGATCTCAGTATTCTTAGTGATCCTCAAGAATGTTTCCCTACGAAGCAAAAGGCAAGCAAAATCAACAAGAAGCCTCTTCCAGACATTTCAGAAAATCTCACTATGATACTCAAAATGATTGACAGTTTTAAGGAAGTGAGCTTTAGATCTGCCACCAAGAGCTCCAGAGGTCTTCACAATGGTGCCTCTTCAAGACGCTCCCAATACATTGGTGTCCTTGGAAATGGGAAGCGCTGGCAAGTTCTCATCAATGTAGCCAGCAAGAAGAAGTACATTGGAACCTACTGAAACGAGAAAGAAGCTGCAATTACTCATGACTTGTACTCCATTGGAATCAAAGGACTCTCTGCTAAGACGAACTTTGACTATGATTCATTCACTTTGAGAGACATGATTGTGAGCTACTTCACTAATTCATCAACCTTCAGGCCATCGCTGTTCACCTCCAGGATATAATGGGGCTGACGATATTCTCAAGTATCCATCTTATCCTTTATTTAGCCAAGTCGGTAATCTTATTCAACAAGTTTTGATAGTAAGGGGTTTTGGGGTTTTGGGGTTTTGGGG